TGAAAGGTTAATAGTGTATGGGGCCCTGGCATTTTTTTGCATCAATTTGTGTGTGTGTGTGTGTGTGTGTGTGTGTGTGTGTGTGTGTGTGTGTGTGTGTGTGTGTGTGTGTGTGTGTGTGTGTGTGTGTGTGTGTGTGTGTGTGTGTGTGTGTGTGTGTGTGTGTGTGTGTGTGTGTGTGTGTGTGTGTGTGTGTGTGTGTGTGTGTGTGTGTGTGTGTGTGTGTGTGTGTGTGTGTGTGTGTGTGTGTGTGTGTGTGTGTGTGTGTGTGTGTGTGTGTGTGTGTGTGTGTGTGTGTGTGTGTGTGTGTGTGTGTGTGTGTGTGTGTGTGTGTGTGTGTGTGTGTGTGTGTTTGTCAGTACGTTGCTCATGCATGTGTGAAAGAGTGTTGGTCTTTTCAAGTGTGTGTGTGTGTGTGTGTTCTGTGGCTTTGATGTACAGGCAGATCTTAATGACTTTAAATGTTCTTATTATGTGGTCAAACATTGATGAAACTGTCTAACACACAGTCTTACTTAATGTTAGATTGTATCTAAATGAGAAAAAAAAACATAGTGCTAAACTACACTGGAAAAGGCCTGAAATTTGGTGCAGTACTGGTAGTATTGCACATAATTTTACTAGTTTCTACCAGTTCTGCATTTATAATACTGGAAATTCCTGTAAATAGTTATTCAATATAACAAGTTGAATGAGTAAATGAATGCACACAGATGAACAGATCAGATCAATCTTTCTGTCAGACTGTAATTTAACAAACAACGCCAGTGAATCCAGTTATACTAGTAAAAGGGCTGATAGCACAAAAAATGTGTAGTGTGATTGCTCTTTATTTTTGTTTATTTAAATTCATTCATTCAAATAAATAAATTAAATTCAAAAAGGCACTGCCTTGCACTAAAGAAAACATCCCCGAAACACCATCTACAGTAGTATCCGAGTTTTAAGTATATGTTAAAAACAACAACATGAATATAGTTTAGCACATAAATGTATTAATTTAATAGTTGAAAAGGAATGTGATATCATTCTCATTTTTTTTTTAAATAAGTCTAAAATATGGCTCATTTCATTCCATGCTCAGATTAAAAAAAAAATTATTTACATTTTTTGAGTGTATTTACATTTTTTATTTACATTTTTAAGATAAAAAATACTTGTTTTTAGAGAAAATTTTAATTTAATTTTTACTTTCTTTTCTTTTCTTTTCTTTACTTTATTTTTTTTTATTTTCAATGACGTGAAATCAATAACTGCTGAATGTATTCAGAAACAGATGCAGATCTTTTATTTGTATATATTTTTAGTCTTACAGTACATTTAATGTCATCTGTCAAGCTGCACGAGCCTATGGCGACGAAGCCCGCCAAAGCCTGCCAGAATGGGCGGGGCATCTGGCTATATAAGTGGGCGCTCGCCACAGGATTCTCAGATTTCTTCTCCTTCAACGACGACTCCACGCTCATCGCTGATCCTGAAAGCCTGCTCGCCGTTGACACGCCTCATGCCGGCACTGTACCCCCGTGCTCGCTCTCCCCGTTGCTACGCGATTACTGAGACAAAATGCTCACTCGAGCATGAATCTCGCTCTTCTCCACTCGTGGTCCGCCCTCCACTGGAGACAGCCCCGCTCTCCCGTTTCTCCTCTCTCAACGAGCCTCGGAGAGAGAAACAACGGAGTCAGGGAGCTAAGCAACCAGGTCTGAGCGATCGCATGCCGGCACTTCAGGGTCAATTTTGCCAAGAGCACGTTGCTTCCCAGCCAGCGAATTTCGTTCCTGGGAACAATTTTTGACTCAGCCCAAATGAAAGTTGTAGTCACGCCGGAACGAGCTCTGGCCATACGGAGGCTGGCGACCTCCTTCGAGATTGGTACCGCTCGCCCTCTCAAAACGTTTCAGAGGATGCTGGGCCTCATGGCGGCGGCATCGCCAGCACTACAGTTGGGTCTGCTTCGTATGCGCCCCCTTCAGCGCTGGTTGAAATCACGGGTTCCATCCCATGCGTGGCGTCACGGACACCTGCAGATCAGGGTGAGTCAGGCCTGTGTACACGCCGACACAGAGCCTGCGTACTCGCCCTCCCCACTGCGCTTCGATCCGTGTCTCACACAAAAGGATTAGTGCCCCTCTTTACATCGAGCGGCTCTATCCTACAAAGTAGATCGGAGCAGATGCTGCTGCTGACAGCTTCAAATTTGTCACTATAGCTGCGCTCACAGACACGGGCCGCTTTTACCACAAAAGCAGTCTGCCCCCGTTCGTTCACGGAAGGCGGCCCCGCAATATACGGTCCTTCCCTTCGGGCTCGTTCTGGCCCAGTCGGAGGCAGAATTAATATCTCACAGAACCCTCCTCCTCAGCCACCTGGAGTGCCTGGGATTCAGGGTCAAAAAAGCGCCTCTTCACGCAGGTAGAGCGCTTCTTAGAGTGGGCTCAACCCAACCTGCACTCGCTGAGGGCAGCGCATATACCGGGCAAATGGAACCAGGGAGCGGACATGTTATCAAGGAGCAATGTCCCCTTAGGGGAGTGGACGCTCCATCCGCAGACGGTTCAGAGGATGGCTGGGTCTCATGGCAGCAGCATCTCCAGTTCTACAGTTGGGTCTGCTGCGTATGCGCCCCCTTCAGCGCTGGTTGAAACCACAGGTTCTTCGCCTCAGAAGACAACTCTCACTGCCCAATCTATTTCTCAAACACCAGGGCCCACGATTGGCCCAACCTCCTTCTCTATGCTTTTCCCCCAATCGCTCGAGTGAGGGAACAAGAACACAGGGTTCTCCTGGTGGCCCCCCTTTGGATGAACCAGCTGTGGCTATCGGAGCTAACTCAGCTACTGATAGCGACCCCTTGGCCTGTTCCACTGAGACAGGATCTCCTCTCTCGGGGCATTATGGCATCCTCGGCCCGACCTATGGGCCCTGCACCTCTGGCCGCTCGACGGGAGCCTTCGTGCCTCCCAGAGCAAGTCTTAAACACAATTTCGGAGGCTAGAGCTCCGTCTACGAGACGTCTCTACGCCTTAAAGTGGTCTTTTTTCTCCCCTTGGTGTCTAAACCACGGCAAAGACCCCCTCACTTCCGAATTGGCAGAGGTGTTGTCATTTCTACAAGAGCTGCTGGATAAGGGACGTTCCCCATCCACGCT